GCATTGCTTCTGCCTTTTCCCGTAATCATTACCTTCGTTTTGTCTTTGTTGACATGCAACCCGTGATCTTTTCCACCAACATGTGTTAGTTCAATTAGTTTCTGTAGACCTTCTTCACTAGAAGCTAGAAGGTCTATATCGTCTGCAAACCTGAGATTTTTGACAGTTCTCCTTCCTATGTCAATTCCACCCAATTCCGAATTTTTCATTTTTTCTATTGCTCTTTCCACTAAAAGCTAGAAGGTCTACATCGTCTGCAAACCTGAGATTTTTGACAGTTCTCCTTCCTGTGTCAATTCCACCCAATTCCGAATTTTCCATTTTTTCCATTGCTCTTTGAATAGTATTGGTGATATTAGATCGCCCTGTCTGCTTCCAATGTCTGCCTTTATCCAATCCCCAAGTTCTGTACCTATTATTACCGACATTTTTGATTCTTCATAAAGTCCTTTCAGTACTTTGACCAGCTTTTTTGATGTCTCCATACTTTCTAATGTTGCCCACAAACATTCATGCCAGACAGAATCAAACGCTTTCTTAAAATCAACAAAGCAATGGTAAATTGTCTGACCGCTACTTTTTGCATCCTCCATCAGCAGTCTCACCATCAGAATTTGTTGGATCGTGCTTCTCTCCTTTCTGAAGCCTGCTTGTTCTTCATGCAGATGAAAATTCATAATTGCTACAATTGAGTCACAGCTGAGCAAATATGCCACATCTTCAATATTTCCATGGATCTTGGTATTTTTCCAGATTCAAAATTTTGAAAATAATAAAAAAAGTGAAAAATAATTTCAACATTGCAAATTTCAGGCCTATCTCCTTGTTCTCAGGCTTTACAAAATTTTTTGAAAAACCTATTCTAACAAAAATTTTAAGGTTAATTGCAAAATATGATATTTTAAATGAAAACTGGTTTGGTCTCAGAAAACGATATTCTACCGAGCTTGCAATAATTGAATTAATAAAACGCCTTGGTGAAACAGCAGAAAAAATAGTTTCCCGGTGGAAGTTTTTCTAGACTTGTCGCAATTAACCGAGTTAAAAAACGAGTTGCTCAACAGACCTAAACCTATTAACAAAATAAAGATACTAACAAAAATAGAATCAACTAGTTTTCATGTAGTTTTTAATTAAAATCAACAAAAATAGAGGAAGAGTCGGCAGATAACATGATGTAAGGGAGGTAAAAACGGCAATTAATCAAATGAAGAGGAACAAAGCATCATGAATCTGCAATATAACTGCAGAATTGCTACAAAACACAGGAGCAGACACGATTAAGTGGCTTCAGAGGGTAATAAACGCGGTACTGAGAGAAGAGATTATCTCGGAGAACTGAAAGAAAACTACGATAATTCTTATCCACAGGAAAGAGGATAGAAAAATATGCAACAACTATCAATCAATCAATCTTCGTTCCATCGGAGCATTTTCATGTCGGTTCGTTGAAGTTGGTGTTCCAGTTTGATTGTCATTGGCCATGTATCTGCACCATATAACAACACCGGACGTATCACAGATTTATAAAGTCTTGATCGTAATGGTAGTGGGATGTCACGCCGCATCAATATAGAGGCAAGGAGATGCCATTTATTCCAGGCTGCACGTATGCATGCTCGAACGGCAGCTTCAGCTGTTCCAGTACAATCCAGAACATCCCCTAGTTATTGAAACGATGTGACTTTCTCTACCTTAATGGCTTCAAAAACAGTGCTATTTCGAAGTTGTTGTTGAGGATTGATGCAAGCAGGACAAACAAATTTGGACACTTCAGATAAAGTACCAATTATTTTTGAACAACGTTTGTGACACCACTGGTTACACTGCTGACACTTGATTGAAGTGTTACCTACACCAGCTTTACAAACTGAACAGGGCCATCGCAACAACTCAAGAAGAATAAGACTGTTCAGTGTACCGAAAAAAGTGTTTACCAGAATAATTTTAAATCTAATTGGTGACACTATAGAAGCACTTTTCAGAGAAAAAAAGCTAATTTCGAAGCGGCTGAAGATGTTCGTAACAGTTATACATGAAACCTCTTACGTCAGCATTGCGAAGATTTTTCAACAGAAGGTCGTGTCAAACTGATTAGAATGCCTTGGATATATTGATGAACACCCATAATGTGTGACATTTGGAATCGATGTTTTCTATTGTGTACTAATTCAAATCTAGTATGACCCGATATCCTAAAACAACAGTCGTTACGTAGCTGGCTCTACTATTTAAAATTTAATATTAATATTGTGCTACACACACACACACACACACACACACACACACACACACACATATATATATATATATATATATATATATATATATCGTGCATATTTTATTTCTATAAGTTTTTTTCATATTCATTTGATATTTTTCTACACAGTTAGGGGTCATCCATAAAAGACGTCCAAACTAGGGTGGGAGCTAAAAGTGAACAAAAGTGGACAAGGGGCGGGGGGTAAATGCCAAAGTATAGATAGTTTAGATAGTATAGATAGTTTTAAACTATAAATATGGTGTTTCTTATTACATAGTACTTACAATGTTATGAAAATGATAATTCTTCCACATTTAATTTAAATCACAAAACAAATGACATATTAACTGTCTAAACGACAGTGGACAGTCTTAATGTTAGTCTTATAATTAAAAAAATATATAATCTATTTTTATGTTTTCTTCAACTCACCGTTATCTACCTACATAAACCGTTCTCTCTAACATCCAAAACAAATGTCATCTAGAATGCCAGTCAATGAAACACTTTTATATAGCGCTTTTTCATAAATTCAAACTTATTTTATGGAATTCTTCTTCATTATCTTTAAGTACTAAAAGTCCCTGATGGTTTAGTTTTTCTATCGTGAACTTAATGGATTTTAGTAATTTAACAAGAATATGGTCAATAATTCAAAATATTTAAAAACTGAATTTCACTTTTTATTACTTTATATATTACCAATGATTTTAGTAGATTTTAGTTGTCAGAATATTATGTTTTAAAATAGATTTTTTAATATTTTTGATTCTTCATACATTTAATTTTTTATATCTTTGTTTATTGTTTAGAAAAAAAACAAAATTATAACAAATATTTTAATGTTAAAAAATGTTCAAATATTACTTTGTCAGTTTTTGATGAATAAAAAACACTAGTTGTGGACATCAAAATATGGACAAAGTTGGACAAGGGGGGAGGGGGGATAAAAGTTTGCCAAAAAATTGTGGACGTCTTTTATGGATGAACCCTTATAAACAAATATATTACATATATCCATGTTCGTACATTTCGTTCAACTAAATACAATAAAATACAATAAAACTGCATACCGATTGCAAATTCCATACATACACTTGTTATATCTAGCAAAAATTTTTTACCTACCGCCGTATTATTTTAGATTACTTTAGTTATTTTACGTAATAATGTATTTATTTGTTTATGTTAATATTAAATTATAATTTATTTTATTAATTATTCATTTGCATTTTAAGGAGACATTTTGCTTTTAACGCAACTCTCTCAATTATTTATTCCTAAATTTTATTTTATTTTAGCCTATTTAAAGCACGTAACATTTGAAATACTATTTTATTTTATTTGGATTACATTTCTATTTATATATTTGTATTTGTATTTCACACAAGACTCTGAAGATGGTGTTCACACAGAAACAACATTGTCAGCCAAATTATGTCATTATTTCACCCAAGGTTCTGAAGATGGTGTTCACGCCCGCCGAAACAACGTTGTCAGCCAATTTATGTCACTTGCTCTAAATAAATACGATTTACAACAACAATTAGTCTATTATATATTATTAGATAAGTAAATTCTGTATAATAGAACCTACCTTTCTTGTCTTTTTTTTAAATATGCACTAGTTTCGCAAAATAGTTCCTTTATTCGGCGATTAACTTCAGCTTTTTCAAATGTTTTTTGACTCGCTTCTGTCCATTGGAGCTTAAAAAAAGTATCCTTGATTTCTTTCTCATTCTTCATAGTTTCTCTCCATATTCTTTCTTCTTCAAAAAACGTTTCTTTACTATACTTTTTAGGTAATTTAACTACCTGTCATAAATTAACAAAAAAATGAGTTATTTCGGCTTAGCTGATGTCACATTTTAAGAATCAGTCGTATACTTAACAAATTGTGACAGTTATAGGCTTAAAATGAAAAGAAATTAATGGTCTTGTTCTATGTCAGTAGTGGCAATGGTAATGATCCAAACGGAGAGTTCCAGTTTAAAATTCAATGGAAATAACAAAATGTGAAATATAGGAAAGTAAATCGTGCGGAATGAAAAAACAAGCCAACCAGAAATATAAAAGAAAACACTGACAAAATAAACAAATGTGCACTTTTTCAGTTGTTTACTAACTATAACTAGTCTGTCAATTACTTATTGTTTACTGAATAACAAATCATTACAATGCCTTTGTAAAACAAAAGGTACTGTATGATGGGAAAAAAATGTTCATATAAATATAAATACTGATGTAAATTGCTGCCACATTTGCAGTTATCTTTTTATTAAAAACTTCAAAACGTTCTTCTTGCTCTTGACTTTTCTTTTACTTTTGATACTGTTGATCATACTATTCTCTTGAGGCTGCTTGCTAAAAATCCCTGGAAAGTATGCAATAGCGGAGGGATGTTGCAGAAAAATTCAGAAAGGCCCCTCTAGATACTTAGACTTGAAACGCTCAATGTTGGATCACTAACTGGCCGCAGCATGGAAATTGCAGAAATGCTCAAGCGAAGAAGGATTGACATCTGCTGCCTTCAGGAGATCCGATAGAAATCGAATGGTGTCTGTCATATCAAGTCAGACAATGAAAAATATAAACTATTCTGGAATGGTCAAAATACGGCCAAAAATAGTGTTGGAATTTTTGTCAAAGAACCGCTAGCCCAAAAAGTACTGGATATTAAAAGGATTAATTCACGACTCATGTGGATCAAGCTTCGCCTAAAAAAGCAAACAATGACTTGTGGGCTGCATTTTCTGACACCATTTCAACAATACCAAAATCTGAAACAATCCTGATTGGAGGCGATCTCAATGGCCACGTTGGAAAGAAAAAAATGGTTTTGACAATGTACATGACGGTTTTGGCTATAGAAAATGAAATGAAGATGGCAACCGCATCCTTAAGTTTGCTGAAAATCACGGGTTTTGTTTACTGAACACATATTTTAGAAAGAAGTTGGAACATCTCATAACAGCACAACGGTTGGAAACACAGATGCATTTGACATCAGCGTTGGAGTTCACCAAGGCTCAATTCTCAGTCCACTCTTATTTATAACTGTGATGGAAGAAATCACAAAACCGATACGCACTGGTGACATTTGGAATCTAGTATATGCTGATGATATCGTTTTAACAGCCACATTGAGCAAAATCCAGCACAGATTTTTGAAGATTGGAACACCAGACTCGCCGATCATGGATTCAAAGTCAACATCAGCAAAACCAAAGCAATGAACACTGGTGAACCCATCCAAACAACAGCTACTGGACTATGGCCATGTTCAGTTTATAAAGCTGGTTTAGGTAAAAATTCAATCAAGTGTCAGCAGTGTAACCAGTGGTGTCACAAACGTTGTACTTTATCTAAATTGTCCAACTTTGTTTGTCCTGCTTGCAAAAATCCACAACAACAACTTCGAAATAGAATTGTTTTTGAAGCCATTAAGTTATAGAAAGTCACATCGTTTCAATATCTAAGGGATGTTCTGGATTGTACTGGAACAGCTGAAGCTGCCGTTCGAGCACGCATACGTGCAGCCTGTAATAAATGGCATCTCCTTGCCTCTATATTGATGCGGCGTGACATCCCACTACCACTACGATCAAAACTTTATAAATCTGTGATACGTCCGGTGTTGTTATATGGTGCAGAAACATGGCCAATGACAACCAAACTGGAACAACAACTTAACGAACCGACATGAAAATGCTTCGATGGATGCAACGAATTAGTCTGAAGGACCACATCAAATCTACCGAAATCATGCGTCGTGCTGGTTTAGATGATATAAAGGACGAATGCCGGCAACACCGTCTGCGGTGGTTTGGTCATCTCAAACGAAGTGGAAACAGTGCCATAACTTTTTTTGCAGATGTTGAAGTACCTGGCACACGTCCCAAAGGCCGCCCAAAAAAGTCCTGGTCGCAAACAATCGAGCAAGACATGAAAACTCTAAATTTAAATGAAATGGATACAACTGATCGTCTAATTTGGCGCAAAAAGTTGATGGTAAAGAAAACAACGTCCTACTTCTGGAAACCAGGTCTCTGGACGCAAAACGAAGATTGATTGATAAAGTAATATTATACATACAGTATTGTATGAATTCTACCAAATTGTTTATCGAAGTTCACCATGAACTTTAAATTGATTAATGCCAACAATTCGGAAGAAGTCATAAGATACTTTATAAAATATGGTCTCCTTCCTTCCTATATATATATATATATATATATATATATATATATATATATGTATATTCAATTTATTCAGCAAAAAGCATGGAGACACAGAAGCTCAAACGAGCTTGTACGGCCACCCAACTCAGACCAAATAAAAACATATACCTACATGAAAATAACAACATAAATGAAAATAAAATCGTATCGTATGTTCTTTTGCATTATTCAGAAGATTTAATTAAATATGAATTAAACATAACAAATTTCTTCCTAACTATAACATTAAATAAGAATAATAATAATCTGAGAACGTACAGTTTCGGAATAAACAACAAATTAGACAACGATAAATAATCTGAAATATGATCATAATTTTTCAGGTCATAATAAGTACAAATAAAGAAGTATAAACATTTATCTAAGATAATAATATGAGACTTAAGTAACGACCCCAAACAGCAATACAATAAGTGAAATAAGGAAAAATAAGAGAATAGTATAAATTAAGTTATACACATTTTGGAGATATTTTAGCCTATAGATTATTCCTAGATTTTTTGTGTGCTTTTTCCATTTTAGATTGCTTGAGATTGTAACAAATAGAGAATGTTAGTAAATTTATGTCAATTTTAGGACCAAAAAGAATCGCATAAGTTTTTGATAAATTAATTTGCAGTTTATTATTTATCATCCACTGGTTAACTCTTGCGAGCTCTGAGTTAAAAATACATTCGACTTCACCTATGGAATCGCCAGCCGTCAAAATGGTAGTGTCATCCGCATACATAATATACTTAACAGCCTTAGTCAATCTGCATAGATCATTGATAAATATATTAAAAAAAATCGATTTGCAAAGTAACTTTGACATCATTTTAACAAAGGTCCTCTAATTCCATAATGCGACATTTTCGTTAACAACAACTCATGATCGACAGTGTCAAATGCTTTTTTTATTTTATATCAATAAAAGTACCAATTGTGTGTCGTTTTAAATCGATGTTACTACAAACATAAAGTGTTAAGTCTAAAATAGCAAGTTCGGTTGAACTCTCCTTTCTGAAACCAAACTGGCAAGGAGACAAAATTTGAAATTTATTTAAAAACGACGTAATAATTTTCTCCATGATTTTCAACAAAGGCGACACTAATGATATAGGACGATAGTTGGATACCAAATCTGAGGAACAATTTTGTGAACTGGAATAACAACAACACACGTTTAGACGACATTTTCCCCAAGATCGGGGGTTGCCGTTTGGCTACCTATGATGAAACCGAAATACCTCTCGACGCCATTCACTAGCTTCAGTATCACGCAACCCCGCTTTCACTCTGTCCTTCTCTACCTGCTCTCTCCATCCCAATCGCTCCTTCAACCTCGAACTCCAACGCTCGCCTAATCCCGACCATTTCATCACTTCTCAACACATGTCCATACCACCGCAATCTTGATCTCCTTATCAATGTCACAATGCCCTCATTCAGTCCTATCATAGACATCAGCTCTGTGCTGCTCCTGCTATTCTTCACTTTAACCCTACACATCATCCTTACCATAGCTATTTCAGCCCTCTGCAGTACACTTTCCTCCTCTCTCCTCAACACCCAAGTTTCACCACCATAAATCATCACCGCTTTCACACATGCTTTATATACTCTCCCTTTCATCTTCACTAACCATTTCTTTCCACACAATACCCCACCCAGTCCTCTAAATTTCATCCATCCCACTCTAACTCTAGCCGTAACAGCGCTCAAACATCCTCCATCCGCGTTCAGCTTAACCCCTAAATAAACAAAGCTTTCCACTTTTTCAATACCACCACTCAACTCCGTCCTTGCGTCCGTCCTATTAATCACACCATGAACACATTTCTTACATTTGAACATGCCTTCCACCTTTTTCAGTGCCCCCATCACACCACTACATCTCTTATGCACCCATTTCTGATATCCTATACACAATACCGAGTTAGCCTTCACTCTCCTGTCACATACCCCACAGGGATCTATTTTACATATCACTCGCTCCCCACCTTCCCCACTCACCATTACCTTCGTCTTACCAATATTAACTCTTAACCATTTCTTTTCGATAACACTTTTCCATCTGTCAAATTTTAACTGCAATTCTTCCATGCTATCAGCCATCAAGACTAAATCATCTGCATACAAAATCTCAAATAACAACCCCTCCATTATGTTTCCACACACAACATCCATCACAATTGCAAACAAAAACGGTGATAACACTGATCCTTGATGCACTCCTACCTTAACGCTAAAAGCGTCCGACATCCCCCTTCCGACCCTCACCTTTGTCTTCGCCCCTTCATACAGCTGCATCACAGATTTAACAAATCTCTCATTCACTCCTTTCTTCGTCAACGCCCATTTAATGACCTTCCTCGGTATTCGATCAAAAGCTTTTTCTAGAATCACAAAACACATGTACAATCTTCGTTTCTTCTTTCTATAATTCTCCTGCAACATTCTCACTATGAACAACGCATCCACCGTTCCTCTACCAGGCATAAACACACACTGCATTTCATTAACTGTCACCATAGTTCTCAACCTTCTCTCAAGCACCCTACCTTCATTCCATGCTCTAGCAATTTCTCACCCCTATATGACCCACAATCTCTCAAATCTCCTTTGCCCTTATACAACGGTACCAACACACTTTCATCATCAAACATACTGTTAGCAATTCTCATCATAACTTCAATTCCTATCACCCCACTCGCCTTTATATGTTCCGCCGCCACTTCTAAGACCCCTGTCGCCTTACTTAGTTTTTTTTTCAACTGCTTTCTTTACTTCCTCCATCGTCACATTCTCTATGGGTCCGTGCGTGACCGCGGATTCCACATCTCCATTCCATTCATTTTCTTCATTCATCAATCTTTCCATATGGGCTTTCCACACCTGAGCTTTTTCCTCATCTATGCACAACTTGCTAGATCCATCCCAAACATATCCATTCCTTATAACATCTTTCCTATCCTTCATTTACTGCTTTGCTACTTTGAACATTTTCCTCAAACTCACATCAAATTCCATTTCCCTCATTAACCTATCTGATGCTTTTGTCATTGCAGTTGCCACTGCCCGTTTTGCAACCTTCTTGGCCTTCCTATACTCAAACTCCGCTTCCCCCGTCATGTCTTTTCTCCACACCCTAAACCTCTCCTTCTTGACCTCCAAAACCTTTTTTATATCTTCATCCCACCACCACGTCTCATCATGCCTACACTTTCCTTTCGTCCATCCACATACTTTATCTGTCGTAGTCAACACACAGTTCCTATATCTGTCCTAAACATCTCCATCCTTACCACTCTCCCAACTTTCAGCCATCTTCACTTCAAATGCCTTCCTCACCTCTGCATCCTTTAACTTCTATGTTTTTCTCTTTGCCACAAACTTATCCTTCTTCCTCCTCCCCATTTCTTTTGATGCCACATCCATCACAACAATACTATGCTGCAACATACCAGGTATCGCCTTCACATTCCTTACATACTTTCTATGCTTCGCCCTTATCAATATATAATCTATCGTTGACCTATGCTCCCCTGACCTATATGTAATTAGTCGTGCTGGTTCCCTTGTAAACCAGGTATTCCCCACCACCATGCTATGTGCATCCGCCAACTCCAACACTTAACGCTCTTCCTCATTCCGTATACCATATCTCTATCCTCCATGTACACCTTCATATCCGTCTGCATCCGCCCCCACA